ATTAAAAAATGGTGAAGAATTTATGAAAATAAACGGCAGAGTTTCATTATGTACAGTTAATAATTGAGGTGCTAACAGAACATGTTGGTAAGGTAAGGAAATTGAGCATAGAAAAGAAGAAATCATTCTAAAAGAATTAAGAATAAACAAATAAATTAATGGATGTTACTTTTAAAACGGAAGCAAAGAACAATAAGTTAGCAAATTAGGTAATCAAAAGACAAGACGAAAATTAATAGGAATGATCAGGTACCGCGAAACCGGGATGTAAGTGGTAAAAGGTCATTTGACAGGTGAATCAAGTTGAAGTAAGTAAAAGGTTTACTGATAACCTGCCTGGATTGCTTGCGAGTGTTAAACAGTTTAATGGTCCAATTACTCCTAGAGGTTAACTATCGAGCATATCGTAGCAATATTTCATATGAGATTTGATAGGAGCAATAAAAGCTACAAAACGTGGCTATGAAGTATCCTAGTATTGGACGATTAAAAATAACATTAAATACCGAAGTAACGTCTACCTTCTGACGTCTTACAGTCGTCTTGGGAAATGGCGAAACAAGACAATTGATAAACATGGGACAAAGTCCGCGAATATCGCTAGATAGAGGGTGATCGGGTCGATAACTTTTCCTTTTATCCTTGAAACGAGAAATGAGTTTCATTCGGATCTCGGGGTGCTGACTGAGTCGCAGAGAGATAAGGGCGTTGCAGGGGGCATCATCTCGTCTCCCCCATGACCGATAACGCTCAATTCCCTTTAAACATTAACAATAGAGTCTACCTTTCCGGCTCCCTCATTTATTTTTTCTTTCCAAATCAAATTAGCTTTTACTTGCGATTGTAGGAGACGTCTTGACAAGTTTCAATCTCCTTCGTAGATTTAATCCACCCTCGCCCCTCGTCAATCCCCCGTTTAATAGTCCTAGATGCTTCATGCTTCTGAAAATAAATACATACCCTCTTTGATATATCACAAATACAAGCTTACTGCGAAGATTACTTAAACCATTTTAAAAGAAAGTTTATAAAGTAATTAAAACACAACATCAAGAAAACGGTTGTGTGTTGAAATCTGAAGAATGAACTGAAGAAAGTCATTTTGAGTGTTTCTGAAATGTTAATAGATGAGAAAAATCACTGTAAGTCTGCAATTTTTGAACTGAACAAGAAATTAAAGGTAAAGTTGGAAGCACTGGTGCAACAGAAAGTGACCTATGGAAAAAAAAGTGGAATCACAAATTGAAAGGTTATTGCCAAGAAGTAAGAAAATAACATTTAAAGCAATTGTAAAACCAAAGAAAGAACAAAATCACGTGGACACACAAAAAGCATGAAATAAATAGATCCATGCAAATTAAAACCTGGTGTTGAACGTGTAAAGGGCATATCTAATGGAAAAGTGATAGTCTAATTTTCTGGTGAAAATGAATTAGATTTGTTTTGTAAGAAAATCAATTAAAGTCCAAACAATGAACTGCAAGCTCAAAGGATCGATAAAATGTTACCCAGTTTAAGAGTGTCAAATTTTAAAAAGGAAATCAATATTGAAAACAAGGTTGAAACAATAAAAATGCTAAATGAGGATATAATTCAGCTAACTGATATCTTAAAGGCTAAAATCCTGTTGAAAAATAAAAGGGGCATAAGATATGAGGTAATAGAAGTCAGTCCAAACTTACGTAAATTATTCCTCGAACGTACAATCAAAATTTGCTATATTATTTGCACTACCGTAGATCAAATTTCAGATGTCAGGTGTTTTAAATGTAACAAGTTTACTCACCACACTACACACTGCAGAAGCACAGTTTCATGTCCGCACTGGCGGGCGACACATTAAAAGGGTGGTAAGCAGATGAAAACCAGCTTAACTGTGTTAATTGTATCCAATTTAACAAACATTCACCAGCCGACAAACAAATAAAAACAAACCATGCTGCGCTAAGTAAAACCTGGCTTTCGTATCTGCACTGCATCAATTTAAAACAGAAAAATATCATATATGGATTACAGGTCTAACAATATTTTAAAAAACCGATTTATCAACTATTCGCTTTATTCAAATCAATTTATATAGGTCTCATAAAGCGCAGCTGCTGCTCGAAAATTATATAAATTCAAATAAAATTGAAAATTGAGTTAATTCACGAGTCCTAAACCGCCCATTATTTCCAATTCTATATAGGTTAAAAAAAATCGTATAATATTGCAATAATACGTACCAACAATTCAATTGATGTTAATTTACTCACTCAAGCGGCTAATAAAGACCGAATTATGGTCGAATTAGTAATAAAATTTTTAATTTCTATATGCGTAGCGTGTACATGCCATTTGATGAGCAATTTTGGTAGATTGATAATGGGCATGGACTCAAACTCTAGATCGACCACATGGTATGATAGATTTACCATAGGGCCCTACTCGGGAAGAATTAATAGCGTCCAAATTGCTTATTATAATGAATGAACCCAAAAATGCTACGACTTTTGAGAGAAGCCGAGGTTCAAGCAACATTGATCTAACTGTTTCAACAATAAATGTGTTGCTGGGGACGAGGGTGGCCGCAACGGTTTAAGCGTTGACACGGCGGTCATCACTGTGAAGGCGGCTCCTGACGTGCGGTATTCGCCGAACGCCGCGCAAATTCCCGACTAGTGTGGATGAACGCTCGGCTATTCGCCGAATAACAACATCCGGTGCTCGCCGTGCTCGGTTTTCTTGTCCGCTTCAAAGGGCACGAATATTCGTGAAGTAAACGCACACCAACCATCCACACATTGGGAAATCAACCAACTGTCAACTGTTATCAAAATCAACAGTAAGTGTATACTTCTATTTAATACTATTTATTTTTTTATTAATAAACGATTGCTAACTAGTATAGATGTTTTAATTTACAGAATAACAATAGTTTTTTCTTATTAGGAATGGATTGGATCCAATGCAACAATTTTGGAGTTCTTCGATGTTTACGAAACAGAAGTAATAATTTGGAAAGCTTCTCTTACAAATTATAAATTGTTTTACAAATAAAGCAATAATTAAAAATATATAAATAACTATATTTTTTTATTAGTTTGTAGCCACTGCACAAAATAGTAACCGCAGCTGCAGCAATGACAGTTTTCACTGTTGTCCATCACAATTTGTTAGTAAGTTGATGAGGCATTGGGAAAATACGTATTCCCTGTTTCCGCAACAACTAGGAGGTTATACAAAACCCGCATATGTGTATACGTAGACACAATATTTCGCCAATGCCAAGACCAGCATCTAGAGTTTTGGCAAATATTCAGCGGCATCGGCATTCGGCGAATACCGCATGTCTGGAGCCGCCGTAAGGTAAAGATACCGGGTTCGAATCCAGCGGCCTTGTATTCGAACACGACATACTTACAAATGGGATTATTTTAAAAACACCATCACCCTCGTGATATGACATCTGCTGTGGCGAACGCGAAAAAAAAAAAAATAAAAAAAAAAATAAATAAATATGCTGCGATGGTTGCGAACCCTCGTTAAAAAAAATAAAAATAAATCAAAAATATAAATCAATAAAAATAAATATAAAATAAAATAAAAAAATATCGTAAATATGGTACCTTACATTGCCCAATTGAACATTTCAAATGACGAAAATGTATCCGACCATCGATCTTTGTCATTTCAGGTGAATTGCGTAGTGACAAATAATATACATCAAACAGACAAATTTAAATTTAATACTTAATAAAGGAGTAGATGAGGAAAAGTTAAAACTGAACTACGGAAGGGCTTGAATGAATTAGCTCCAACAAACAGATTTTCAGACAGTATGGAAGTCATATTAAAAAAAAAGAAAGTTTAGAAACTTTCGTTGAAGAATTTTATGGAAAAGTGATAATTACGTGCGCAAAAACGAGGGGAAGTGGGAGAGAGAGAGAGAGATAAAAAGGGAGAGATAGTGTGTGTGAATGAGGGAAGAACAATATCTCTTCATATAAAGCATAAAGAGAATTTAAAAATGTTAATAACTAGATCATCCATGTAATAATCAATTTTTTAAGGGGCATTTTATAGAAAAAAAATCGTATAAACACAAAGAGACGTGTCGTTACAGCATCGTTAATACTAATTTATTAGACTCGTTTCCAGTCGAATCAACCCTCCCGTTTCTATTGGCGCATTCATTAAGCTTGTAAATCTCAAAATGAGCAAGGTTACAGCAAAATCAGAATAAAAGAAATGTTAACATATTTAAACACATTTCCTATACAATCGACCATTCTGAATGTATCGGCAGAAAAAAAGTATGATACATTTGTTGAGTTTCTCCTAAATCTTATAATAATAGTCCGTCTTTTTTTTAAGTTAGAACGCCGACTGTAAACAGCAATTTTTACAATACTGCAAATAAAACAACATTAAAAAATTGTGCTGTGCTACATTTATGCTAGAATTTGTTTTACACTGGGCGAGTTATTTAATACGTGATCGTTTTAAATACGTTCTGAATAGTCAAAATATTGTCAGCGTTTGTAACAAAGCTTAGTTGCAGATTATTGTTTGTTTAAAATATTCTTTTTGTAATTTAATTAAAGGCGCATTCAGCAAAATTCCACAGAATGAAAATTGAATGGAAAGTAAATTTTCTAAAAGATGGAAATGGTCCAATTTATACCGGTGAATTCATCCAGGTGCCAATGGATGTGCGGTGTGCGGATAAAGTTAAAATAAAAACAGACCAACATTAAATTTGTTATTCCACACAAGTTTGAAGTCTCATCAATATCGCTTGAAAACTTTATATTCCAGGAATGGTTTGATCTTCCTGTGCCCGTTGAGAATCCACGTGAGTTTTATATCAATTTCGCGCCCTAGGATAGATACGTGCCCGATAGTGTTCCTACAGTCACGAGTGATATTTTTCGACTGATAACCAAATCCGACTATCAAACAGCGATTGTAAATTTTAAAAAACGAATCAGTACAAAACAATGTTCAATCTTAAGCCGCAACGGTAGACTTTTCCCTATCCAAGCGAAATGGCCTCGGTTGAATTTGCATTTGTATCGAATGTGGAATCACGGTTGAGCGGCATTTGACAGATCTGTGCATTTACAATGGTTTTGATTAAGAAAAAAAATGAATAATCAAAATTGTTACTGAAAAAACCCAGGCCATACACAGAAAATGGTGAAAAGCGTTTGACAGACCGACTCTGCGAGAAATACGTATAAGGAAATAATAAGGTAATAAAATCCACTAAATTTAAATTTTTAAAACATGTCTGTTAAGCTAGGACAGTTTATTTATACCTTTTTACGCCCTTCATCTGCTGTTTTGCTTTTGGTCAATTAATTGGTGAAAATAATGATGCAAATTAATCAACAACGTTAAATTATGCGCATAGAAACATTTGATAATTTACAAACATTGTTAAGTTTAAGCAAAAAATAAAAATTAATTAAAATTTAAAATCTTTATGCAAAGAAGAAAAAGTTCAATTTTATTCTAGCTAAATGTTTATGTGTTATCAACGGTAAAAATATTTAATTTTTTTGTGTGTTCATTTCATTATTAACAAGCATAAGATATTTCACGAGACGTCTACATATAGACAGTGCAAATAAAACCGGAATGAGACATTTCCCTTAAGAATAGGTAATTCCTCACTTTCTTTTATCCCCTAGGACTTAAAAAAATAAGTCCTGGAAAACCCATAAATTGCTGAACGGTAATTTCATGCAGATTGGAACTGTCCTATCTACTGTTTGCTTCTTATCTTAGGGGAACCACAGTGGGAAAGAAAGGGAGGGAAGAGTGAGTAAAGTATATACGCCTGTGCATTCTTCATATATCATAAATACCATGGTTCAATATTCCCTTCATACGCAGCCCTTTCTCCTATCCACAATTTCCCCAAACAATATCCTACCGAGAAGTTCCCAACCTACTTTATTTATTCCCCTCCCCACCTTGCCCAAGCGTTATCATATTATTTTATATATGACTTGACGCCTTTTCCAGAAACGCAGCTTTCAATGTGTAACCATAAAAAGGAACAGCGGAACCTCGAAGACCCCGGCGGGAGAATATGTACTAAAATTGGAAACATATGAGACAAAGTATTACGAGGCATTTGAATTACAAATATATGCTCATAAACCATTTAAAAATAATTATTTCACACTGAAAGATTGTTCTGAAATAAAAACAAGGTTAATTTATTTCTAGTGGCTAACTGAAAACTAAATTATTAACCAACAATACAATTTTGATAACAAATATAATAAACCAGAACACTCACCTATTTTAACAGAAATGTACATAAAATTATTCATAAAAATGAATTTAACATAATTACCTTTGTAAGATTTCACAAACGAAACAATATTGAAAATGCCGAAACGCGTAAGACAGACAAACCAAAATTATCATTAACGATCAAACAATGTAATTGTACTGAAAAAAAGTATTAATCGGCATCGCTATATTATTTTGTTTGCGTATATCTAAAGTACATTAAAAATATTATCTCTAAAATAATATAATAATGTATGATGGGGAGCGGATTGAGTAAATAATATAATCAATGTTCAGAAAATTTTTAACAGACCCAAACACTTTAGATGGAGAAATGCCGAAACATGTATGTTTAACAGGATAAAGCATTGACGTTAGGAAGGCCAAAATGATCGGTAACGACCAAATTATGGTTCATCAACCCGCAGAAAACACAGAGAAATTTCACATTTTTTTTAAACTTGAAAACAAATGTTTTAAGTGTGTAATTTGTATTGCAGATTTCTAGGTCTTGAAAAAAAATTATAAAATTGTTTACTGATAATAAAGTGCCAGATACGTTACAAAAACATACAGTTAGTTGCATCGTTTAATTTATGTAAGTTTAATTTAAAAAACCAATAACGAAATAGATTGTAAAAAAAGATAATTAGATTTTGTGTTAAGCTGACAAAATAAATATTATTAATCATTATCATTAAAAAAAATAATATAAACAGTTTCTCTAATTAAATATTCTTTTCATCTAAGGTTTTCATCCCAACCAAAATACTTAGATCAAGAGTATAATCAATTGGAATAATTAATATGGTCAATTATGGCCTCTAAACAAATATGGATTATATAAACAATTAAATTATAAATGGCTTTATCTTTTGAATTAATAAATAAAAGGTTATTGAACATATACTCAACACAACGTTTTCAACTTCATGACATGAATCGTTTTCAGTGTTAATTACATTTGTCTCTTGAATAAAAAATTCAGTCTACTTCCCAATAATCTTCCTTTAAAATGCAATGAACTTCGAAATAGATGGTTCCCTTCTACGATAGCTTCAATGGTGAATAGTCCTGTTTATATGGCTGTGTCAGTAATGATAATAAAATAAAAATTCCGAATTGAAAAATCTATGCAAAAACGACGTTTCTGAGCGAGAGTTGACGAAATATGGAATTAACTTCAGCTTGTTCGACTTCTTTATCGCATTGAGATAGCGTGATGGCCATATCGATGATATAGACATTAAAAAGGATGATAACGAGAAACGAAATCAGAGAGCGATGTATTTTAAGCGTAAGACAAGATGCCACGCAACTTCGAACAAAGGACGACACATAAATTAGCTGGTTAACCAGTCCAGGCCAATACTATTATAGCTCCCACGTTTGATTTTAAAAGAAGTTCGTTTTATTGGGAAAACTAATTATTCAAGTAGTGGATATGCAACACCCTCTTTGGGTATCCCTACATTCGAGCTTTGGGTCAGTTCCGCTAGGTAGCATAAACCTAGTAGTCATATGGCATAGTTTTCCTTTTATTTTGAAATATAAATAAAACAATTAACATTTATCATCACAATTAATTAATTTATTTTTAGAAACTAACCTTTATTTTAACGTTAATTAATCTTTTTGAGTTACTTATTATTACCGAGGCAAGTGCGGTGGAGGTTATTGTGTTGAAAATATCCCTGTTTATTTGTGCTTTGTTGCCGCGTGAAATGTCTGTTTATTTTTACAAATTTCGTGTTAAACAGTAGTTAAAACAAAGTTAATAACGAATTTACATCCAATTATTCTTCTTAGACATAAGGTAAGCTATTATTATATCAATGGTAACAGTTTTGCTTAAAACGAGTACACATCATACTTTGCTTGAGTTTTGTTTATAGTTTGGGCACAGCTGTAATTAATTGTTAGGGGATGGTCTTATAACATAATTAATGTTGATTTATAGAGTGAAATGATCTTAGATTTGGACGTGTGTTTAGTGTTTACAAGTTCCCAAACGACTAGGCGTATATTGAACGGTATTATTCTTTGAGTACGAAGAAAACGATTTCATATTTAGAAAAAAATATAAACCAAAATGTTGATTTAGGATGTGTGTTTTAGTGTTTCATTAGTATATTTTCAAATTGCCTATGCAATGTATTCAATAAACAACATTCTATTTCTCATTCTCTCTCACTCCAACTCTCACTTTTACTCACTCATTCCATCTCTATCTCACCTTTCTCTCTCTTTCTGTCTTTATGTTTGAATGCTTTATCTTGTCTCTCAATAACTCAACAATGTAGTCGTCAAGACTGAAAAGAACACTTAGTTGTTGTTATGCTTTTCTATTTGTTCTTTATTAATTACTTTATTCCTAATCAACTTGATGGTTCATACATACTTGATACTGTACAAAATATTTATATATATTGATTATTTTGTAAAATATAACAATTGAAACTTCATACACTATTCTTCAATAATTGACAGGTGATGAGTTGTGTTACTATATACAATTTATGTAATAACACATATTTAATATACATACAAATCATATGCACAAAACTTTATACATTTTTATTTGGTTAAAACTTGATTTATTGATATACTAGCCTTTTTTGAAACGTAGTACCATGTGTGCGTTAGACTGGTTAGGGATGGTTAGTGGTGCGTTAGACTGAGTTGCACATGCCACTTGGAAAGCAACAATAATCATATAAATAAATATAATATATACAGTTGCTTCATTAAATTGTTCAAATCTTGAAAGCGTAATGAATGATTTTTCCAGAGTGGGTGAATCGCAATTCACAGACAACAGCAATAATTTTCAGACCAGCATGATTGGAATTGACCAACTTCCATCAATCAGGTTCAATTTTCTTTACTATCTTTTCTATCAGTGAGGTTTGGAAGAATAGGAAGAAAGAAATAGCCCGAAGGATAAGGAATTCTAAAAGGCCTTTTTTATTATCATTTTTTTTGTACGAATACTATCTAACCTAATTTTACCTTAAAACTATATTTTATATTTATTTATCAGTTGAGTGAAAGATAATTCTGTTTTGTGACATTTTGTGGTCATTATTTTTGTTTTGGTGTTAGTACCCCACCTTCAGCTAAAAATTACCACCATAAATACCACCTAAGCATAATAAGAATTAGCATTCAACACTATAACATGATATAAAAAAAGTCATTTACAATATTAATATTATTTTACAATTTGTAGTTTAATTGCAATTTTTTTTCCATTATGATTTAATTTTTTTACATTATTTCAAAATATCAGATTTAATTTGGTGGATATCACTATATCACACATACACAAATACAGTTTTTGCATTTTATTTAAATTGATTTTTTAAATTTATCAGATTTGGTAGTTGGTCTATGTATTATTTTCTATTGTGGTGATTAAATTTGTTCGGTCCTCTCCATCAATAACAAATCAGTGGTTTGTGTATTTATGGGTTGACAAACGTATGGCCACTCTCATCTTTAAGAATTCCTTTAGTATTTTAATTTGTAACTTTTCAGTATCAATAGTAATTCACTCGGGTAGGCAAAATATAATTGTTTTATCATTTATGTTCAAAAAATAAAATTTATTTATCAGAAACAAAAGCTTATTTTGTTATTTCTTTGTTTCTTCTTCTTATTTTTTTAGTAATTGCCCATCTGTGATCATTTAGTTCTCTCTTAAGAATCAGTTCCTCTTTTTTTTCTGTTTAACATTTATGAAATTTAACTATTTTACTATATATATAAATATATANCAACAAACCATTTGCAATTGAAGAAGATCATACCATTAAAAAAAGATTAAAAGAAAAGTTATTAATAATATGTAATATAAATATAAAAGTAGAATGTAAGAGTATCATCAATTAAATTTGTCTTGTCTCTTATTTTGTCAGTATGTGTATTATTATCTACATGACAG